AGTTCCATGAACTTGGACAGGAAAAAAAATTACACCTATATTTTCACCAGTCTCTAACTCAAATGTAACATTTCCTTCCATTTTAAATGTAGGCAACAATTCAGAGGCCAATTAGCAGCAACTTGGGACTTTATCACCAAGAGAAATCACAGGTACTTCCTTATCACAGCTGCCCCAGGGATCCTAAGATACTGTTCATGCTTATGACACCTGTGACATCCTGGTAGTTTTGGACCAGCCACTCGATCTTTTTATCTGATGTGTTTAAAAAAGAACACACAGGGCTTCCCTGGTGCCCTGTACTCTTTCAGCAGTAAAGATTCCACCCGCCAATGCAGGAGACACAAGCTGGATCCCTGACCTGGGAAGATGCCACATGCCTCAGAGCAACTAAGCTCGTGTGCCACAGTTACTGAGCCTGTGCTCTAGAGTCTGGGAGCTGCAACTATGGAGCCCATGAGCTGCAACTACTGAAGCCCACGCACCCTACAGCCCATGCTCTGCAACAAGAGAAGCCACCGCAATGCAAAGCCTGCACACCACAACTAGAGAGCAGCCCCCGCTTGCCACAGCTAGAGAAAAGCCCGAGCAGCAATGAAGACCCAGCACAGCCATAAAAAATATTACTAAGTCACATATAAAAAATAATGATTATTATTTCAATGTTCAATAATTGTTGTCTTTTGTAATTCTATTTATGGCTTAAAAAACCACATTCTTTTTTAAAAAAAAGCAGAGTTCTTGAGAAGGGTCTATAGGTTTCCCCACACATAAAAAAGACACCCTGAAAAGGAGTGTCCTGAAAGAGCTGATGTAGGGAGTTCCTTGGCAGTCCAGTGGTTAAGACTCTAAGCTTCCGCTGCAGGGGTCCCAGGTTCAATTCCTTGTCGGGCAACTAAGATCCCACAAACTGGGGAGCATGAGCAAAAAAAAAAAGAGCTGATGTGGTATGACTTTGATCTCTCTCAGCTGACATCCAGCCCATGAGAGGCTCTCTCTCAGAAAAGCAGGAGAGTAAGGCTTCCAACAGGAACCTCATGACCTGCATTTCACTGCTGCCTGGTCCTGTCTTGTTTATGAAATCATGAGCACACAGGCCTATAACAGAGAGCAGGGAGCCCTCTCGAAAATCAGCACTCAGAGGGGAGCCCAGCTTTCCCTCTGTCCTCGAGCTGGGCCCCTGTGCCCTCCAGTCCCAAGAGTGAGTCCTGCAGGAGGCCTCTGGCTAAACTTAACACACTCTCATCCAAAATGTGGACTTTCCCCATGGCTCAGTGGTAAAAAATTCACCTGCAATGCAGGAGCCGAGGGTTCAATCCCTGGGTCAGGAAGATTCCCTGGAGGAGGGAATGGCAAACCACTCCAGTATTCTTGCCTAGAGAATCCCGTGGAGAGAGAAGCCTGGCGGGCTACAGCCCATAGGGTCACTCAGAGTTGGACATGACTCAGCACGCATGCACCCAAAATGCTTTTCAAGGCTGAAAGAAGATCCTCTCTATCCCTATGAATCTGCAACAAGATAAGGGAAAGGAAAAAAAAACATTTCTTTTTATAAATACCCTTATAGAAAGCAACCCACCTGCAGTCACAGATAGACTATTGGTTCCAAGAGGTAGACACAGCATGATGTGCTGGTTTAGGAGGGGGTCAGGTTAAAGCCTGATTCTCACAAACCCAACACGCACCCATGGGAGTGGGAGGAGCGAACAGTGTGGACAGAAACACCATCTCCAGGATCCTTTCTGGAGCTTGCTGAGAGGAAGGCGGCAGTCGTGAGAAGCCGAGGAGGCAGCTTCTTGGAGCCTGGGTTTGTGAATCATCACTCTCACGTGGGTTCCCCAAACAACCTCTAATTTGGGAGAGAAGCAGTAGAAGGGCCCCAAATTCACTTCAACTTTGTCCTTCCCCTTTCAGTTGGAGTTCCGTGGGCATTCATCTTGGGTGTCATCTACGACAAGGCTCAGGACATCGAGGATGATTCATCTTCATGCTGATCTGCCCGAGATATTTGGGGACTTGAGGGTGGGGTTGAAGGGGACAGGAACTGGCTCAAAGAAAGGACTCCTTTTTTAAAAAAAAAAAAATACTAACACTGACTTTTTTATTTTTTGGTCACACCCCACGGCTTGCAGGATCTTAGATTTCTGACTAGGGATTGAACCCGTGCCCTTAGCAATGAAAGCGCCAAGCCCTAACTACTGGACTGCCAGGGAATTCCAGGACTCACTTTTATATCAGATTATTGATCAAAGAGAAACCAAACATGCAGAGAACAAGGAAGGAGTGTCCAAGAGTTCTTGAGATGACAGTGCAATGTAAAAGCTTCTTAGAGGACAAAGATGGGTGGTTGTTCAGAGAATTTCTCATGAAAGGTGCACTAAAATGTATGGATGGGGCGCCCCTGGCTGGGGCGGTGGCGGGTAGGTGGAGCTGAGGTTCAGGGGGAACTTGACTCTTCCTTATTATACACTTTTTGTACCCATTTACGTTTTGTGCTATTGTGTATGCATTATTGCTTAAAAATTTTTGTTTACAGCTTTGCAAGTCAGAGATCTCATAGGAAAGTAGCAGGTGCTTAATTGACACATGTTAAAACACTGCTATTTCAGGAACTAGCATTTATGGAGCGCTTACGGCGGGCCAAGGGCCCTCTGGCAATCCCGGTTTTCCAGGTCTTACAGACGGGGAGGCTGGGCCAGGAGGGAGCTGAGTGGGAACTCCTCCCAGGAGCCGGGGCTCTAGTCCTGCATGAGGACCACACCGCCTCCCTCCCTGGAGTGAGCAGTTGGAGGCACCAGATGCTTTGGCAGGATCCAGAGAGATGCCATCTGTGAGGGGAACCTATTCTTAGAGAGCAGAGACAGTGGGTGGGGGAGCCGGCCAGCCCCCAGCGGCAGTGGGGGGACGTCGGGAGGAATGGGCCAAGGCTTTTACCTTCAGCTGAGGGGCGGGGCAGGCCAGGTTGAAAGCACAGTATCCATAGTCCTTGGGGCCAAGCTTCCTTTTACATTTGGACGATACATTGGAAACAGCAGCAGGCATTTATCGAGTGCTTACTTTATATGCTGTCGTATCATTTAATCCTCCACACCACCCTCCAAGGCATGTGCCATGAGAATGGCTGTTTAACAGATGACAAGACGGAGGCCCTGAACGGTTAAGTCACTTACAAGGAAACAGCGGGGCCAGAACTGAGCCCAGACACTCTGGCTTCCAAAGCTGATAGCCTTAACCACCACGCTCTGCTGCCCCTCAGCTCACTGCACCGGGGGCCAGTTTGAGTTTGGGTTCCCCCAAGAGCAGATCCCGAGATGAGGATGTTGAGTGCCAGCAGTTTCTGTGGGAAGTGGTCCCGGGAAGCAGTGGTAGGGGCACGAGGAAGGGAGACAAGGGAGGAGGTGTTATCACACGAGTGACTGCTGTGGGTGGCCGGAGCTCAGTCCTGCTGGGTGCTCTGGGAGCCAGTGTGGAGCAGGCACCTGGGAGTTATCCCACCCAGTGGCAATCGGAGTGCAGGAGTGGGGGTCGTCACCAGTCCCTGGTTGACAGCTGCTCCCAGGATGTGTTACTCTCCAGCACTGCAGGTCTGCCGCAGGCTGACAGAGCAGGTGCCAAGGGCAAGGGAGGAGCCCTCAGGCTGAAAGACTCAGGGTGGCAGTGGGGTGGCCGATGTGCACTGAAGTGGTAAGTTAGACAGGATATGGGTGGGGCACTCCAGCATCTGCTTTAAAACCCACTTGCTGCTGGCTACCCCCTCCCCTCCCCATGACCTCAGGACCTCATTCAGCCTCCACAGAGTGAACTAAGGGAAGTTCAAGACCACCTTCTCTAAGCTGGCAGTACAACACCGTGCCTGAGAACACACCGTTTAGACTCAGACCCAGTCCCACCTTCATGACCTAACAGCTCTGTGACACAGCTTCCTCGTTCATCACATGGGCTACTGGCTGGCCCCCTGTCATTCCCTACCACCTTGTTACTCAAGCTCAGAACAGCAGCAGCCATCACCCAGGAGCCATGAGAAACCTAGAATCTCAGGCCCCACCCCAAACCCACTGAATCAGAATCTGCATTTTAATAAGATTTCTAGTGACTCATGTGGATATTTCTACTAGTAATTTTCAAAATATAAAAAGAGACTTAAGTATGCCTACTCCAATTGATGGCCCACGAACCAAATCTCCTGGAGCTGTGCTTGATTTGTTCAGCTTGGTGGTTTAAAAAAAAATTTGTCTGGCACACACACAAGTCTCCAGTTCACCAGGTCCCCGTCCCTCCCGACTGCATAGCACCCAGAACATCATCATTTATGCCACTTCCCAGGCCGCTATAGGCATTTGAGTGTGCACACCAATAACTAGCTAATTTTGCATAGCATAGTTTAGGTTCCTAAATTTAAGGCACTGAAAAAAAAAAAAAAGAACTTTGAAATTGCATAGATCTGGGTTTAAACCCTGGTCTGGCTGTCACACTAGTTGTATTATTGCCTTTGGCAAGTTACTTCTCCGATCCTCAGTTTCCACATCTGTGAAATGGAGATCAAAATATGTACCTGCACGGTCATTGTATGGGTTAAAAAGAATAACATGCAAAGCACCCAGGAAGGAGGAAGGAGGAGTTCACTAAGCGGATGTCATTAGTAGTTGAAGCAGCTGTCATAATTACATAAGTCCAACGTAGACACCAGGTATTGCTATGATTATCCTCATTTCAGTAGAAACTGAGCCTCTGAGAAGAACCTCCCCCAAGGTTACACAGCGGTCCAGCAGGGACTCAAACCCAGGTCCTCCAGCTCTGTATCTGCACTGTCCACTAGAATTTTCTTCAAGGATAGAACATTCTAATCTGTGCTGTCCAATACAGCAGCCACTGGCCACATGTAGCTGCTGAGCACTTGAAATGTGACTGGTCCAGACTGAAAAATGCTGAAAGTGTAAAATACACACCTGATTCTGATGACTTAGTAAAAGAAAAAAAGAAAATAAATAAAAATAAATAAATTTAAAAAAAAGTAAAATATCTTATTTTTATATTTAGCACACATTAAAATGATAACATTTGAGAAACATTGGGTTCAAAGATATAATTAAGGTTAATCATCTCTGCTTCTTTCTCTCCCCACATTTTTTTTTTTGGGGGGGCCCATACCTCGTGGCATGTGGGATCTGAGCTCCCCAGCCAAGGATAGAAGCCCTGCCCTTGGCAGCAAAGTCCTAACCACTGGACCACCAGGAATTCCCTCCACTTTTTAAAAACTGTGTCTGCTAAAAAAAGCTCAGTCACATATGTCTCACACTGTGTTTCTGTTGGACAGTGGAAACGCTGGAGCTTCTACAATAGAACACCCAAGGCAAGGAAAAGAGTGTTGCCTAAAAATGCATTTTTGCAACCCACTGCCCCCCAGCCAGAAGCCCTCTGCTATAGAAGAATGGTCAGAGAACATACCCACCAGAAAGAGACTTCGGGGCCCTCCTCTGGCCTGGATGATCCCTGAGGCCCAGGGTGGGGTGTGACCTTCCCTGGTCTCTCAAGATTCAGCAGCCATCACCGTGCCCAAGGCTCCTCAGCCTGATTCGGTGGCTCGTTCCACTATTCAAGAGTACCTAACGAGAACTGATAATCAGTGCTTCCATTTCGCCAAATGGAACCCTGGGCTAATAAAAGTTAGAGTCTGAGACTCCAGATCTTGAAGGCGTAGGATCCTCCGGGATGGTTAGCAGATGGAGCCAATCTCGAGCCGCGGCTGGACACCTCCGTCACCTGACTGGGGTGCAGGAGCCTTCCTGAGCACCTGGGGTGCTGTTACTTGGAGGGTTGGCTCTTGTTGTAGATAAGGAAGTCCGAGAGGTCATGCCACACGTTGCTGTCCTCGTACAGGTAGGTCATGGACGACTGCAGTGAGGGCTGCAGGGTGGGCCGGTGGTACTCGAAGAGCCACAGGACCAGCCCCCACACCAGCGCTGTGAACCACGGAAACAGGTCCGACCTGGGTTCGGGGATGAAGCCCTTCTCCACACCCAGGCGGCACAGGGCAAACAGGGTGCGGGATAGCAGATACATGCTGATCTGTGGGAGGGAAGGACGGGGTTACAAGTGGGCCCAGCCACTGGGAACCTTCTACCTACCCCAGCCCACCCAATCTCATCCCTCCCCCATTTCCCCCCCATTCCCCTCCCCCACCCCACCCCACCCTGGAGCATTGCCTATGTACTGGATCGGGGTTTTGCAAAGTGTGGGCAAGGTGATTTGAAGTGGTTTGCAGCAGGCATTTGACTATTACTGTTTATGTCTTTTTTTGTTAGCAGCATTGCATGGCAAATGGGATCTCAGTTCTTCAACCAGGGATTCAACGCTGCAATGAAAGCACCCAGTTTAAACCTCTGGACCGCCAGGGAAGTCCCACTATTTATGTCTTTTAATTTATTATTCTTTTTATTAAAAATTTTGAAAATGAATATATTTACATGGCTCAAAACTAAAAGGTAGCTTGATGACAAAAAACACAGTCCACAAATGAAAAAAAAATTAATAAACTGGATTTCATCAAAATGCAAAATTCTTCAGTTGTGAAAGTCCATGTGAAGAGGTTGAAAAGAAAAGCTACAGACTGAGAGAAAATATTTACAAACACATATCTGACAAAGACTCATGTCTCGAAAATATTTTTAGAAACTCTCAAAACACAACAGTGAAAAAAAGAGGCAATCCAGTTAGAAAACAGGCAAAAGACAGATATTTCACTGAAGAGGTTACACAGAAAGAAAACAGACACATGTAAAAAGGTTTAGCTTCATTAGCCATTAGGGAAATGCAAATTAAAACCACAATGAGAGGGACGTCCCTGGCAGCCAGTGGTTAAGACTCTAACCGTCCAATACAGAAGGCCCAGGTTCCATCCCTGGTTGGCAAACAAGATCCTGCATGGCACAGCTAAGACCTGGTACAGTCAAGTAAATAAATAACTTTTTAAAAACCATAATAAGCACTATACACCTATCAAAATGTCAAAAATCTGAAATGTAACAAACCACATGCCAGCTTGGAGGTAAAGAAACTGGATCACACATATATTCCTGATAAGAATGTAAAATAGGACAATCACTCTGGAAAACACTTTGTCAGTCTCCTCTAAAACTAAGTATATATGTACCGTGTATATGTGCTCAGAAACTGAGTTGTGTCTAACCCTTTACAACCCATTGGACTGTAGCCTGCCAGGCTCCTCTGTCCATGAGATTTTCCAGGCAAGAATACTGGCGAGGGTAGCCATTTCCTCCTCCAGGGGATCTTCCCAACCCAGGGATCAAACCCTTATCTCCTGCATTGCAGGCAGATTCTTTATCACTGAGACATCTGGAAAACCCTTTTGTACCATATGACCCAAGAATTGCACTTCAGGTATTTATCACAGAAGTGAAAAATATATTCACCAAATACATGTACACGAATGTTCTGAGCAGTTGCATGACTAATAGCCAAAAGCTAGAAATAACCCGGATGTCCTTCAATAGGTACATACATACCATGGAACACTACTCAACAGTGAAAGGGAATGAACAGCTGATACAATAACTTGGAAGAATTGCCAGGAAATTATGCCGAGTGAAAAAAGCCAACCCTCAAAGATTACATACTATGATGACTCCATTTATATAATAATTTTTAAAATTGAAGTATAGTTGATTTACAATGTTGTGTTTCAGGTGTACAGCAAAGTGATTAAGCTATACATATACATATATGTATGTATATTCTTTTTCAGATTCTTTTCCATTAAAGGTTACTATAAAATATTGACTATACTTCCCTGTACTAATTGTTGTTTATCTATTTTATATATAGCAGTATGTGTTAATTCCAAACTCCTAATTTATGCCCCCCCACTTTGGTAACCATAAGTTACCAAAGTTTATGTCTGTGAGTCTGTTTTTGTTTCCTAAATAAGTTCATTTGTATCATCTTTTTTAGATTCCACATGTAAGTGATATATTTGCCTTTTTCTGTCTGATTTCACTAAGTATGATAATCTCTAGGTTCATCCATGTTGCTACAAATGGCATTATTTCATTCTTTTTTATGGTTGAATAATATTCCTTTCTCTGCGCGCGCGCGTGTGTGTATACACCACATCATTTCCATGCTTGTAAATAGTGCTGCTATGAACATTGGGGTATATGTATCTTTTTGAATTAAGAGTTTTCATCTTTTCCATAGATATGCCCAGGACTGGGATTACTGGATCGTATGATGACTCTAGTTTTATTTTTTTAAGGAATCTCGATACTATTCTCCACAGTGACTGCATCGATTTACATTCCCACCAACAGTACATGAGTGTTCCATTTTCTCCACACCCTCTCCAGCATTTATTATTTGTAGACTTTTTGATGATGGCCATTCTGGCTGGTATGAGGTGATATTTCACTATAGTTTTGATTTGCATTTCTCTAACAATTAGTGAAATCGACCATCTTTTCATGTTCCTTTCCCTCTGCCTGTTGGCCATCTGTATGTCCATCATGTAACATTTTTGAATGGAGGTCAGAGCAGCTGTTGCCAGCAGTCAGGTCAGGGAAAGGAGGGAAGGGGGAAGGAAATGGGTGTATCCAGGATTCCTAGAATTTGAAATTTCATAGACAAATTCATTGAAATTTCTATCAAAAAAAAACTGGGGAAACTTTCCCAAAATACAAAATGCTCATATCCATAGACTTTACAACTCCATATATAGGAACTTACAAATAGACTGACACAAGTGTAGGAAGATGTCTTAACAAAGATGTAGACTACAGTGTATGTGTGAGGTCAAACGCTAAAGAACCCCTAAATGTCCATCCACTGGAGACTGTGAAATCAAGGCTGGTCCATCCCGTCAGCAGAGAGCTCTGCTCATGTTATAAAGGATGAGGGACTAACAAGAGAGGCCTCCAAGACACACTGTTACATGAAAAAAAAAAAGTACTATGATCTTGTTGGTGGAAAACTCCTGCTATGAACACTGATACAAGTACAGACAAGTTCTGAAAAGCTAAACAAGACACAGTTAAAATGACCGTCTATATACATGTATAACTGATTCACTTTGCTGCTTAGCAGAAACTAACACAACATTGTAAATCAACTATACTCCAATTATGTATATGTGTGTGCGTGCTCAGTCATGTCCAACTCTTTTCAACGCTACGGACTGTAGCCCTCCAGGCTCCTCTGTCCATGGGATTTCCAGGCAAGAATACTGGAGTGGGTTGCCATGCTATCCTTCTCCAGGGGATCTTCCTGACCCAGGGATCAAACCCATATCTCCTGCATCTTCTTGAATTGGCAGGCAGATTCTTTACCACTGAGCCACCTGGGAAGCCCAATACTCCAAGAAAAATTATTAAAAAAAAAAAAAAAGTGTTTCTGGACAGTGGCTGGACAGTTAGAGGGGGAGAGAGACTTTCTTTTCAATTTATTTTCTAATTTCATCATGATGTATCCTAAGCATCCAGGAATGTGCCAGGCACATAATGGGTGCTTAGTTTGTATTACTTAAAATGTGAAAATAAAACAATTATTTTTATAATTTAAGAATATTAAAAAAAAAAAGAATAAGAAATTTGAGGGAGGCAAATTAGAAAGACTGCCAACTTTTCATATAGCCCAAGAAGGATGCTAAAATAGCAGCAGCAGCAGCAGTTAGCATTTTGTTTTATCATTATCTCATTAAAAAATAGAATTAAAAAAAAAATAGAATTTTAACCAAGAAAAAGGGCAAAATGCAGAGTAAGAGAAAAATTCCTCAAATGTAGTTTCATTTTATGAAAATCTTGCTCTTTTTTTTTTCTCACTTCACTGCAGAGTAGTGTTTGGGGGCGTGTTTTGTTTTTTTTAATCTTTGCCCCAGAGAGCTGCATGGAACTCCAACAAGGTACCTGGTTAGCAGAGGGGGAAGCTGAGGGGGAAGTGACCTTCTCAAGGTCACACAGGGATTGGTGAACTCCAGACCCTCAGACATGGCAGGGAGCCAAGAGCTCGTCTTCTTTGACTCTCATCCCCAACTCTATACCTGAATCCTGCCCCACCCCCCCATTCTGGCAGGACCTTTACCTGGCTGTTGATGTTACTGTTGTTTCCAAACACCAGCAAGCCCCCGATGAAGGCAGACACGAATGAGTGTGCCTGGTAGGTCTTGCCCTGGACGTGGGACAGCAGGGCACAGAGTCCCTTGTAGAAGAACACAAACCTGGCCAGGTTCCAGGAGTGGGTGTACGTGGCCTGCAGGATGGCGCGCAGCTTCTCCCGGAGGCTGCATAGACACAGGGAGCCACTGTGAGTGCAGGCCCAGCCGCTCCAGGGGCATGCACCCACCTGGCATGCAAAACCAGCCCAGGCAAGGAGCCCATGGACCAGCGCTCATTCAATCCCGGGCCTCTGCCTTCCATGCCCTTAGGGCCGCTCCCTCCCTGGATACGGGCTTTGACTTCACGCCATCTCCTCCAAGAGGTCTTCCCTGACTACCCCACTGCCTTCTTCAAGAGGTCTTCCCTGACTACCCCACGTATAAGAATGCCCATTGTATTCTGTTCCCTTATCCAACTTTTCTTTTCCTTCAGAGCTTGTATCACCACCTGACATTTACATACTTGTTTATTATCTCCCCCTACTCCCACCCCATCCCAGTGGAAGCTACAAGAGAGTGGTGTCTATACCTCACTCATTCATCCTCAGTGCCCAGAGCAGGGCCTGGCACATAGCAGATGCTTAATACATTTGTTTCTGTGAAGAAATGAATGAGTGAGTACCTACTACGTGCTGGATCTGAGGATATGATTCTGAGAAAAAATAGATCTGCTTGCTGCCCTCACGAGGTTTATGACCTAGTGGGAGAGGGAATTATGAAAGAAATAATCACAAAACAAAGGTCAAATTTTGATCCTGACAAGCAATGATGCCAGGACGTGAAGGATGAGGAGTCCATGAGGTCAAGAGGAGAGAGGAGTTGTACTGGGATCAACACCCGAGCAGAGGTCACGAGGAGGGACAGAGAGCAGGGAGGAAAGGAATAAAGAGAGGCCATCAAGCCTGAGCAGAAAATGTGTGAGGCAAAGGTTGTGAGCGAGGGGTGGGGCCATGGTAAGATGGGTCTTTAAAAAAAAAGATTTATTTATTTTTGGCTGGACTAGGTCATCCTTGCCACTCAAGGGCTTTCTCTAGGTGCAGAGCCAGAGCGGCCCTCTAGTTGCAGTGGCTTCACTTGTTGGGGGGCACGCGCTCTAGGTGTGGGGGCTCAGTAGTTCTACACACGGGCTTAGTTGCTCCAAGGCATGTGGAGTCTTCCCAGAGCAGGGACTGAACCCATGTCCCCTGCACTGGCAGGCAGATTCTCAAACACTGGGCCGCCAGGGAAGTTGTAAGCTTTGTCTCAGTCAACCTTTACGAAAGGCACGTGGTTTGACTTATCTTTCCACACTCGCTAGGGGGCAGTGAGGAGAACCAAGGAGAGGAGCAGCATGTCCTCTGGGAGACCAGTTCAGAGCAGCAACCGCAAGCGCCCTTGAGGCCGGAGGAGGGCCTTGAAGTGTGTGTCGGCTGGGACCTATGAAGTCTGCCAGGTGAGGGGGGACAGCTAGGAGTCAGCGAACTCTCACCCCACAGGAACATGGGCCTACCACTGCCGGTTCTAAGGCAAGCTGCATTTCCCACTTTCCGAGCGTAGGCACTAATACTGCCTTGAAAATGTAGAAATTTCTAGAATCTGAACACTTCTCACCTCTATGCCACCATCAAGGTCTGGGCCACCAGAGTTGCTCAGCTGGATTATTGCCGCTGCCTCCTACTTTACACCTAATTCTGCCCTTGACCCCTAGCAGCAAACACTTCATTTTCTCACTATTAAATTTAAGTCAAATAGTGGCATGTCCCTATACAGATTCTTACAACAATTTCCTGTTCCATTTAGATGAAAAGCCATGTGGGTGGGAGGAAAGTTCAAGAGGTAGGGGAGACATATATACACACACATACACACACATATATATAGTAGATGCTCAATAAATCTAAGTATACATACATATATATATATACACTTATGGCTAATTAGCATTGTTGTGTGGCAGAAACCCACATAACATGGTAAAGCAATTGTCTTCCAATTAAAAGTTTAGAAAATTAATCAAAAAGAAGAGGAAAAGCCAAACTCTTCTCTTTGACCTAACACTGAACAGGATAGTCCCCAGTTACCCCCATAATATTCCTCTCTTTGCTCTCTCCCCTGCAATCCTTCTGCTCCAGCCTCCTCAAACTCACCAGGTATGATCACCCCTCAGGGCCTTTGCACGGGCTGTTCCCTTGGTATGAAACACTCTTTCCCTTGTTACCCACGTGGCCAACTCTTCCATCTCCTTCAAGTCTCTACTTAGAATGTCACTTTCTCAATGAGCCCTTCCCTATTTAGCTCTGCAGCCTGCCCTTCCCCAGCACTCTGGATCCACTTTCCCTGCTCTACATTTTCTTTCCTACAGCCCATACAATCTTCTAACATACCACATACTTTTTAAATTTACTATGTTTATTTTCTGCTATGCCTTGCTAGAATGTCAGCTGAATGAGGGAAGGGATCATTCTCTCTTTTATTCACTGCTGTATCCCCAGCACCTAAAGACAGTGTCTGGCACATATTAGATGCTCAATAAATATTTACTGAAGGAATGAATGAGTTTAACTAAAAAAAATAATTTGGAGGGCAAAAACTAAAACAAAAATAAATTTAAAAAAGAAAAATACATAAAGAAAGAGATCTTCACAACCTGGATTTGAACAGCAGGCGGTCCATGTATGATTCTTATAAACTCCAGGTGATGCTAAATACATTAAAAACTAAAACACAAGGTGATTTCTGAGAAGCACCTTGAAGGAAGTTATGAAAGATCAGAGAAAGGCCAAAAAGTTTGAACAAGGAAAGAAAGTAAGTCATGGAGAGTTTTCCTGAGAAAGTGACCCTCAGAGAACTGGCATGGGTTGCTAGGAAGGAATAAAGGTGGGGTAGAAGAGGAAAGGGGATTCCTGGTGTGTATGTGTGGTGGGTACTGCATGAGAAATGTAAAGAGGTGGAACCACCTGTTGCACATGAATGAATGGCAGTGAGTCTTGGTGCCAAGGGCTCCCCATGGTGGGCACTGGAGAGAAGGGGGAATGTCCCTGAGGTCAGACTACAGGGGGCCTTGAATGCTACACCTGGAAGCTGGCTTCTCTGGAGGACAGCAAGGAGCCAGGAGCTGGCGAATTTTCAAGATGGGATAATAGAATCGGACTTGCACTCTAGGAGATGGTGGTGCAGACAGGTTGGACCCAACCTGGAGGCTACTGCACCAGGAGTCCTGGCACGACCTTGCCCAGTTTGAGGGGTGTGCAGAGGGGTCAGGTACCTGCCACTCCGGAAAAGAAAGGTCATGACCAACGCGTGGGGGGCCCGGATTTTGGCTCCATAGCTGTAGAAACAAAAGAAAATGGTTATTAAGGCTCCACCACACCACTGTTTCTTTCTGAGCTCTCTCCTTGACTCCCTGTGCCCCCTCCTCCCCCTCCCTAATCCTAATATAATTTTGGGAGGGAAACTAACCCTGGCTTTCGAGTTAGATCTGGGTTCCAAGTAGGTCATACAAAGTAAACAGTATCTGGTACCAAAGCCTTGCCCTGTTTTGCTCTATGCTGCTGCTGCTGCTGCTGCTAAGTCACTTCAGTCGAATCCGACTCTGTGCGACCCCATAGATGGCAGCCCACCAGGCTCCCCCATCCCTGGGATTCTCCAGGCAAGAACACTGGAGTGGGTTGCCATTTCCTTCTCCAATGCATGAAAGTGAAAAGTGAAAGTGAACTCGCCCAGTCGTGTCCAACTCTCAGCGACTCCATGGACTGCAGCCCACCAGGCTCCTCCATCCATAGGATTTTCCAGGCAAGAGCACTGGAGTGGGTGCCATTGTCTTCTCCGGTTTTGCTCTATAAACTTGGGTAAATCACTGAATGTCTCTGAGTCTCCCTTCTCCCTTCAGTGAAAGGTATTGCCTGTTTCAGAGTTGTTTCTGGCAGTTAAGGACCTAGCACAGGTAAAAGTTCCTTATTCAATCAGTACTAATGTTGCTACCTTTCTTTTTCTTCTTTATTGGACTTGCCCTCGCTCCACCAAGTTCTCCAGCTGTCTGGCCCTGACCTTTCCAGGCTACAAGGTCTAACAATCTCTGACAGTCTCCCTCAGACAATGGTCATGAGCCCCGTATTGTTGTCATATGAGTATCTGTGAGGCTTGTTTGTTTTTTTCCAAAATATTTATTTATGTATGTATTCATTTTGGCTGCACTGGGTTGGAGTTGCGGCATGTGGAGTCTAGTTCCCAGACCAGGGGTCAAACCCAGGCCGCCTGCATTGGGAGTATGCCGTCTCAGCCACTGGACTGCTAGGCAGGTCCTTGTGAGGCTTGTTTGAAGCAGCAAAAGACTGGGAACAAACCTGTGTCCATCCACAAGGGGCTACTAGGTAAACATACAATGGACCCATGGCAACCAGTGGGATACACTGGTTGCTGTACATGAAACAGCTGTCCATGAACCAGGCAGCTCTAGATATGCTGTAGGCTTGGTTAGAGCAAGATGTGTAAACTTCTAAAAAGCTCTAACTTTTTATGCCTTTTGTGAATATGGTACCTAATTTTTAAAAAAATCAAATAAAAAGCGTGATGAACTGACAGCAGTGTTACTGTATGTGGTGGCCAGGCTGAATGGCTTATTTTCTCGCTGCCTAGCAGTGGGTGGGCAGGACCCTTATCTGGCCCCCAGCAAGCTCTCTGCCCCACCTCCTCCAAAGGCATGTCTTCTTACCCTGAATAAAGAGGCCGTTGGCCTCCTCCAGCTGGCCAAGGTGAACAAGACCCTGCCTTATACCTCAGACACAAATGGAACAATGCCCCCAACTGCCTCCATGTGCCTGGCCTCCTTCCCAAACTATTCAGACTCTGGTGGGAGCCAGTTACTGCCACTCACAAGAGCTCTCTGTGTCCTGAAACACGGAATGCTCTGGATTAAAAAGGACTGAAAGGACATGACAGGGATGTCCTCAGCGGTCCAGTGGTCAAGACTCTGTGCTTCCACTCCTGGAGGTGAGGGTTCAACCCCTGGTTGGAGAACTAAGATCACATGTGCCACATGGTGTGGCAAAAACAAAACAAAACAAAATCATCATGACCAAGGAAACTTCAGAGTAGCTCTGAATACAGACCTTCAGTCCTCTTCCATATAAGAGAGAAATTAAATAAATAAAGGACCATGACAGATGCAGTATGATATCCTGGAAGATCCTTATTTAGACTATCTTGCTATAGAGGACATTTAGGGGACAACTGGGACAATCTGTTTATTGACTAGACAGCAGTCAACATTATAGGATTATGATTAATTTCTTTTTTAATTAAAAAAGTTTTATACACCTACATTTTTGTTCTTTTTTAAAAAATTTTTTTAAATTTATTTTTGCCTGTGCTGGGTCTTTGTTGCCGCGTGGGCTTCTCATTGCAGTGGCTTCTCCTGTTGCAGAGCACGGGCATGTGGACTCAATAGTTGCATTTCCTGGCTCTAGAGCACAGGCTCAATGGTTTGGCTCACAGGCTTAGTTACTCCACAACATGTGGGATCTTCCCGGACCAGGAATCAAACCTGTGTCTGCTGCATTGGCAGGTGGATTCGTTACCAATGAGCTATGAATTTTCCTCTCTGAGCCACAGTCTTCTCATCCAGAAAATGGGTACAATGGCAATTCCTCCCTTATACACTTATTCATTCAGTTAGTATTTAAGAGCCTACTATGTATCAGGTACTAGGAATATACTAAGGAACAAAACAGATAAAATTTTCTGTCCCCATGAAGCTCATTTTCTAGTGAGAGACAGAGTAGAAAAAAGGGATGCTAAGTGAATACTTAAGTGTCAGGTGGTGATAAGGTCTATGCAGGAAAAGTCAGTAGGGAAGGAGGTTAAAGTTCAGAGATAGCCTCATTGAGGAGGTAACAATCGGAAGCCTGAGGAAGGTGAAGGAGTGAGCCAGGCAGACATTCATGCAACTACAACAATGATCACAGCAGCTAACAGTTATATACACATCAGGCGCTGTGCTGAGCATTTCACACATACTGACTCAATTCTCTCGACAGCATGATGAAAGTCAAAGTGTTTGTTGTTCAGTCTGTTCAATTCTGTGTCCCCATAGACTGTAGCCCTCCAGGCTCCTCTGTCCATGGTATTATCCAGGCAACAATGAAGTGGGTTGCCATTTCCTTCTCCAGGGGATATTCCCAACCCAGGGATCGCACCTGGGTCTTCTGCATTGCAGGCAGATTCTTTACCTTCTGAGCCATCAGGAAAGCCCTGAGAGGGTAACAAGCAGGAAGGCCAGGGGTCTCCAAACAGAGGCAACAGACTACAAGTGTCAGACTACGCGGCAGGAGGAAACAAGTGTTAGATTTTTTCCCCTTCTCTAAACAAATTTAAAAAGAGGTTTCTTTTAAAATTCTGAGTTGCCACCGACCACACCTGGTTCCAGCGTTGCTTAACTTTTCTCAAACCTTGATCTAACCAATGCTTTTCTTATGGAAATGTTTGCCTTAAGATATGTTAATGAACTATGTATTTACCCTAGACTGTCTTCCTTGGAGAAGGAAATGGCAACCCACTCCAGTGTTCTTGCCTGGGAAATCCCAGGGACAGAGGAGCCTGGAGGGCTGCCGTCTATGGGGTCACACAGTTGGACACGACTGAAGCGACTTAGCAGCAGCAGCAGCAGCAGTTTCCTAGGTTCAGCAGCAGTCTTCCTAGGTTCTGAGTCTTAGATGGAACCGACTTGACAAATCAGTATGTTTTACTCATGCAAATGTTCTCATAAGCTATGTTAACGATACTGTATTTGCTTAGAAACCTGCCTTTCTTCAAGATCCACGTGAACCATTTTATGGCCCGGAACAACTCACCTTGTGCCAAAATGCATGTTGTGGGTGATGGGCCTGGTGCCAGTCTCTGAGTTTTGAGACATTTCTTTTCTCTAATTAGCAGAATGCTAGTAGCTACATAACATCCAACTAAAGACTAGCAGAGGGGCACTCTCTCTGCTGATGTCTATGTCAGAAGCTTTCTCTAATTCTTTCACACTTTAATAAAACTTTATTACACAAAAGCTCTGATCACTTAAGTGATCAAGTCTTGTCACTGGCCCGGGATTGAATTCCTCTCCTTCGGAGGCCAAGAATCCTGGAGTCTTTCATGGCTCAGCAACAATATAAGTACTATTATCAACCCCATTTTATAAAAATTGAGGCTTAGAGAGCCTAAATGAGTTGCACAAAATCATATAGGTAAGGGGCACCACTACTCAAATTGAGGTGATCACATCCACACCACCATCCCATGCAGCCACTAAATGCCAACTCCAAGAACATGCAGATTTTTGTTCTCTTTGTTCTTTGATGCTTCCCCAGTTCCTGGCACTGTAGGCTCTCAATAAATCATAGCGCTTATGCATAAAGTTTAAAGGAAACTGAGCTTCCGTCCTGGCGCTAGCCAGAGGAGATGACCTCCTCTTCTGCAGGTCAGATGGCCAAATTGTAATCAGTTTGCTTGGCAAATATTTGCAGCTTCAGTTACACTGGTCACGCCTTCCGCTTATCAAAAGAGGACTTAGCAGTAGAATCTTACAAAAGAATGAGAAGCAGGATGAAAAGTCCGGGGCAGCTTAATGCGAGGAGCATAGAGAGGCAGGGCCGCAGGCTTGCTAGAAGACAGAGTCCAGCTTCCCACTGTGCAGATGGAGCCACGGAAGCCAGATAGGCCCAAGGGCACACAGCAGCAGGAGGGGTAAAACTGGACCCAAATGAAGGGATACAGGGGCTGGCATGGGAAATAGTCAAGGCAATAAGGCCAGGCTGCAAAGCACTGAGTACCTAGAAAACAGCGTAGTCAGAGCCCCGGCTCAGAAGGCGCACGGACCCCAAAATCCAGAGCCCACTGCACCGACAGTGGACACCAAGACCTACAGAGACACTAGAGCTGCTCAAGGGCGCACAGCGCAGCGGCGCCGGTCCCAGAACCCGCTTCTCCAACCCCACCAGACCGATCCTTCAGCCCCTGCCCAGCCCGATGACCCCACTCACACGGCCCCGTTCCGGAAGCCCTTCAGCATGGCCAGGACTGCGTGGTAGCGGCGCTTGCGCAACAGTGCGTTGACCGCAAAGAGCAGAGTCCGCAGCTGCGGTGGGGCGGCCATAATGCAGGCGTCGCTGGGGATGGTGGGCACGGAGCGGGACTCACGCCTTGACAGCCGGGGCTGCTATTGCACAACCCTCAGTAGGGCTAGAGGTGCCGGAAAGTGCCGGACATTGCAGTCGCGTCTTTGAGCCCATAGGATGTGTCTGCTGTCATTCATACGAAGAGGGCCGATCACAGAGCTCACTCAACTCACCAGGGGAATGGGGACGCAAGCACTCTCTCGAAGAGCGGTCTGATTGGAAGAGAGGGAAAGCTCGTAGCCAATTACAATGAGCTCCGTCCAATTCGACCGCAAAAAGGTTAGAAACGTATTCCTGGATCTGTCCAATCCGAAAGCAGTTTCGCTGGGACTTAGAAGAGGTGTGTCACCTGTGAGCTTGGAAGTTTTGAAAGAGGAGCCGCCCTCCGGAGAGTAGATCTTCTCTGACCGTAAATGACTTGGCACTTTTACCTTTTTGGTTTCCATATGTTCTTAAAAGCCAAACTTTTTCTCATGGTCGCAGAAGACTGATCTGGCCCCTGTTTTCCTCTCTAACCTTACATCTCCACTCCCCCGTAGTTCCTCTCAGTCACTTCTCTTCAGCGAAACTAGCCTCCTTGCTGTTCCTTGAGCCTGACGCTCCTGCCTGAGTGCCTTTGCCTTTCTTTATCTCCCTGTTTCTTATGCATCGCCCCAAGTTCTTCCCATAGCTAACTCCTTCTCAAACTTCAGGCTTCAGCTCAAATGCCATCTCCTCAGAGAGGTCTTCCTAGGTATCTCAGAACATTGAGGGGTGACATTTATGTATGATGTCACTGTGTGGAGATGTCATTGGATGGCGGGTACACACGGAGTGGTAGCTGTGACTTGCGAGGGTGTCCCCTGGTACATGGGCCATCTGGTATTTATCTGTGACATTATTGCCTAGGTCAGCGTCAGAGGATGATGTCAGAGGTCAGTGAGAAAGAACTATGCTGGCCCTATTTTACCATTGGGGTTTCTCCTGTGGCTCAGCAGTAAAAAGTACCCCTGTAAAGGAAACACTGGCGATGCAGGTTCGATCAGGGAATGGCAACCCTCTCCAGTATTCTTGCTGGAAAAATCCCATGGACAGAGGAGCCTGGCAGGCTACAGTACATAGGGATGCAAAGAGTGAGACATGACTGAGCATGCATGCGTGCATATTTTATCACTATGACTGGGGGGAGGGGGGAATGGTGGGCTAATTTATTCAATTAATTTTCCCTCTGAAAATAGAAACATTGGATAAAATATAAAAAATATGCTTTGAGAAACACCGAATCTTAAAAACCTGGGGGAACTCCTAGGCCAATTATTATGTGAAAGCTGGTAACCAGATATTTAACAGGAAGATTGGAATATTGGAGCACCAAAGCTATTATGACTTGAGGGTTTTTGCCAATGTTGAACCTGTGGATTTCAGTTCATTAGCCACATAGGGCAAGAGGGACAAAAATAAAAGTCCAGGGCCTATCCGAAGTGGGGAGCCTAACAGAAGGATCTCCTCATATTAGGCTTAAAGGTTTCACCCTTGTGTTTAATGTGATATGAACCTGCTGCACATCCTACACCACCAACCCGAAGGGAGTTAAGAAAAGGTTTCCTTGATACTGAGCAGAACAGGCTTAATTTTTAGTATTAATCATTTTCATTTATTTTGGCTGTGCCAGGCTTACTTGCAGCACACAGGATCGTCAGTCTTCATTGCAGCATGTGGAATCTTTTAGTTGTGACTTGCTGGATCTTTAGCAATTGTAGCATGCAAACTCTTAGTCGAGGCATGTGGGAACTAGTTCCCCAAAGACTGGGCCCCCTACAACAGGAGTGCAGAGTCTTAGCCACCAAGACCGCCAGGGAAGTTCCTGAGCAGAACAGTTGAAGGAAAAGGAGCAGGGAATATTTTAAAAATCATTCTTTAGGGAGTTGAAAACATTGACGAGTACTTTTGTGTCCCAGGGAATAGAGTCTGGTAGCCCAAGAATTCTCAAGCCATGAACTGGGAACCCAATTTGAAATGATAACTAGATTGCCCCTAATTATCACTGGAAGTGATTGGTAATGCCCCCAAACATTGGACGAAAGCAAATGGGAAGTCTTTCTGAAGAGGGCACATTTATCTTTGCCTTCAGGGAACCACTACAAATAATTTTTCAAGGTGACACCAGCACACAGTCAGAGATAACCAGGAACCCAAGACTTCATGAAGAAAAAACAAATACAACATATGGGACGAATAGATCAACACAGACTTCAGGTATTATAATTCACAGACAGGTTTTAAAAACTTTTGCACACAAGATTTAAAGTTAGATAATAGCTACAGGAAGCATAAAATTAATTTTTTAAAAAACAGAAAATTTGGAAAGGAACCAAACAGGACTTCTATAAATATCACCTGCTACTCCCATGAAGAATCAGCCACTGATCTCTGACACATGGCCCAGCAACAGGAGATGACGTTTGGCTGGCTAACTATTTTGTCCAGCAAGTTCTTCGTGAGTGCTCTCTTTTGCTATGCCCTTTCTCACAGAGATTAGTAAGTTTCTGCCATCAGGGAGCCTGGGGCAAAGAGTTGCCAAATGAGGACACTTATCATTGCCTGGTGACAATTTTTTGGCACGTAACTCTGAGTTCCTCAGGGTTTGACCTATTTCTGCACCTTTGGCCTGTGAATTTGAACTTATTTATTTAATGAGCACCTACAGATTATTTGCTGTATGTCACGAGTTGTTTCCTAAGGACTTTATTAACCAATTCTCATCTAATTATGGGAACTGAAACAGAGAAACAAAGTAACTTACTTAAAATGATTTAGCTAATACATTATTGGAATCCAGCCCCTTACTCCATTTTTTGATCTTACCTGCTGTATTAGTTTGCTAGGGCTTCCATAACAAAATACCATGAACTGGGTGACTTCAACAAGAGACATTTGTTTTATCACAAATTTGGAGGCTACAAGTCCAAGATCAAGGTGACTGTAGATTTCCTTTCTTTTGAGGCCTCTTTCCTTGACTGAGTTCAGTATGCCAGCAAATTTGGAAAATTCAGCAGTGGCCACAGGACTTGAAAAGGTCAGTTTTCATTCCAGTCCCAAAGAAAGGCAATGCCAAAGAATGTTCAAACTACTGCACAATTGCACTCATCTCACATGATAGCAAAGTAATGCTCAAAATTCTTGTTGAAGCCAGGCTTCAACAGTATGTGAACCATGCACTTCTAGATGTTCAAGCTGGATTTAGAAAAGGTAGAGGAACCAGAGATCAAATTGCTAACATCCACTGGATCATCAAAAAAGCAAGAGAATTCCAGAAAAACATCTACTTCTGCTTTATTGATTATGCCAAAGCCTTTAACTGTGTAGATCACAACAAATTGTGGAAAATTCTTCAAGAGATGGGAATCCCAGACCACCTTATCTGTCTCTTGAGAAACCTGTATGCACGTCAAGAAGCAACAGTTAGAACCAGACATAGAACAACAGACTGATTCCAAATCAGCAAGGGAGTACATCACAGCTGCATATTGTCACCCTGCTTATTTAACATCTATGCAGAGTATATCATGCAAAATGATGGGCTGGATGAAACACAAGCTGGAATCAAGATTGTCAGGAGAAATATCAATAACCTCAGAAATGCAGATGACACCATCCTTATGGAAGAAAGCAAAGAACTAAAGAGCCTCTTGATGAAAGTGAAAGAGGAAAGTGAAAAACCTGGGTTAAAATGCAACATTCAAAAAACTAAGATCATGGCATCCAGTCCCATCATTTCATGGCAAATAGATGGGGAAACAATGGAAACAGTGAGAGACTTTATTTTTTGGACTCCAAAATCACTGCAGATGGTGACTGCAGCCATGAAATTAAAAGATACTTGCTCCTTGGAAGAAAAGCTATGACCACCTAGACAGCATATTAAAAAGCATAAACATTACATTGCCGACAAAGGTCCATCTAGTCAAAGCTATGGTTTTTCCAGTAGTCACATATGGATGTGAGAGGTGGACTACAAAGAGAGCTGAGCACCAAAGAATTGATGCTTTTGAACTGTGGTGTTGGAGAAGACTCTTGAGAGTCCCTGGGACTTCAAGGAGATCAAACCAGTCAATCCTAAAGGAAATCAGTCCTGAATATTCATTGGAAGGATTGATGCTGAAGCTAAAACTCCAATACTTTGGCCATCTGATGTAAAGAACCAACTCGTTGGAAAAGACCCTGATGCTGGGAAAGATTGAAGGCAGGAGGAGAAGGCAACGACAGAGGATGAGATGGTTGGATGACATCACCAACTTGATGGACATGAGTTTGAGCAAGCTTCAGGAGTTGGTGATGCACAGGCAAGCCTGGCGAGCTGCAGTCCATGGGGTTGCAGAGAGTCAGACTGAGAGACTGAACTGAACTGAACTGCTTGGCTTACAGATGGTTGCCTTCTACTGTTGTCACTTCTCAGTCTTTGTATGCTGAGACACACGAATCTCCTCTTCTTTTAAGGACATCAGTCATATTGGATTAGGGTTCACATATGACCTGTGCATGCTCAGTTGCTAGATTGTGTTCTCACTTAACCTTAATTACCTCTTCAAAGGCCCTGTATTCAAACAGATTTTGTAGTAGGGATTAAGATATCAACATTTGAATTGGGGTGGGGAAACACAGTTCATGCCATAAAACCACCATGCTTAGCTGCCTCTTACCTATACCAGAGAACCTAACATAATGTCAGTGTCAAGCTTTGCTTTGTGTGTCCTTAGTTTCTTCCCCTTATGTCTGGGAGTCTGGTTTAAGCTGCTCGTGATTTCTCCCCTCACTGTGAAGAAGTTATCTTTTCTGGAGCCGCTGGTACACTTAGTGTGGAAGGGAATACTGGACGTTTTCCAGACTTTTCTTCCTCCCTGCTTCGCTCCATCCCTGGAATAGCTATGTTACTTAGCTCAGGAGTCTCTGAACTGTGACTGGATTCAGTTCAGTGGTAACCTGCTGGCCCTAAGGAAAGGTGACATAGGATTGATAGATTTTGGTGGAGGAAGAGATAGAGGTGTGTGAGAAGTTTGAAGCAGGGGAAGCCTGCCTGGAGAGCCTACTGGAGGTAGGGTTCTATATCCCTGAAAGCTCATTCAGTTGTTCCATCAGTCAAGTAATCAGTCAACAAGCATTTCCCAGGTTGCCTCTGTCCCAAGCTTTGATGTTTGCCTCCATCCACCCAGAAGGATGAAGCATTCTCCTGCTCAGAGAGCTCTCTATTGAGGAGATACAGAAAAGGGGAACTTCCAATGGCTGAAGAATATCACATGATGGGGTATCGGTAGAGAATAGCATTTTAGTAAGAGAGACCCGCATGTGCAAAGACCTGAAGAGCAGATAAAAATGTGTATATGCACCTAGATGTATCGAAATACAGTCCTTCCTTGACTTGCAATGGGGTTGTTGTTGTTCAGTCACTCTGTCGTGTCCAACTCTTTGCGACCCTGTGGACTACAGCACACCAGGTTTTCCTGTCCTTCACCATCTCCCAGAGTTTGCTCAAACTCATGTCCATTGTGTTGGTGATGCCATCCAACCGTCTCCTCCTCTGTCGTCCCCTCTCCTCCTGCCTTCAGTGTTTTGCAGCATCGGGATCTTTTCCAGTGGGTCGGCTCTACAATGGGGTTATGTCCAGATAAACCCACTGATGGTTGAAAATATCATTAAGTTGAAATACACCTAACCTAATGAATAGGTAAGTGTAGCCTACCTTAAACGTTCTCAGACACTTATATGGAATGTTTGTAAGTGTATTAACTGTTCAGACTTTTGACTGCACAGTTGACTGGGACCTGTGGCTCGCTACTGCTGCCCAGCATCATA